TTGCTGAGGAGTTAAATCTTGCCGTTTGACTGCTGAAAAGCCTTAATGTGGTGTTAAAAGGCAACTGTTCTTTCTGAGCAGCTTTTAAAGCAGTTGCCAGGATTTATTAGTTGTGTTTATGTCTGTCATCTCTTGCAGCATCGCTGGCACAGGATGGCCATCTAGGCAGGCTGCAGAAGCTGGATTTGAGCTATAATGACAGCATCTCTGATGAAGGCTGGGCTGCTTTCTGTCCAGGCTTAGCAGCATTCAAGGACCTCTCAGAGCTGGATGTCAGCCTCCGCCCATCGTCCTGCCGGGACTGTGGGACGTGGTTCGGTGGGTTGTTGGCCGCACTGACCCAGCTGCCTGCCCTGGCTGAGCTGGGCATGCAGAGGTGGGTCCTGTCAGAATCCCAGAGGAAACAGCTGGAAGGCTTTAATCAAGACAGCCAAAGAAACATTCGTTTTGACTGTTGATGAAGGCTAAAGGTTTCTGCAAGGCCTGTCACCAGCAGCACATGAACCAAGTGTTATTGTTGTGTCTCTGACTTAGAAGACTGCACAGTTTTTAATAATCTCTTGAAATAGTTTCACAATTATAGAAAACTGTTATTCAACCTTCTGCATCATAGATCATTCCATTTAATAACATATTTCTTCAGATTCTCTGGGCCATGACACTACTACATACACTTAACCTTCATGCTGTGAGTGACAAGTGCTCAAAGAGCAGTGCTGGTTCCAGATGGACACACCGCAAGTTTGCCAGAGGAGGGAAGGGGCTGAGGTGTGTGTTAATGCAGGTGGGTGTGCAGTGTGCATGTGGCCTTGGAAAATACCTCTAATGGGCAAATACTGGAAACCCCTGTGGTTTAAATTTTAGTTTCTTCTCACCCAAAACACTTGACTCCTTGTGAATGCATTAAATCTACAGAACTGGGAGATTTTGAAAGTATCCCAACAACTCAACTTTATATATTAGTTCGGTAAGGAGAATGCAGAAGGGGCTGTTCTGCCTCTGCTCTGGCCCTTGATACCATCTGATAGTGGAGATGAGTCCTGTGTACAGAAACAGCATAAAATCCAAGTAACCATTGATTGGTGTTTTTGCAGATCTCAGGGGCAAGGGAAATGCTGTGGTACATAAAATCAGAGATATGTTCTGCTACCTTAGCAACGATTTTGGATACAGAGCAATCCATAAGGCTATGCAAAAACTTCAGGATACTTCAAGGATGCTCCTCCTCATCCTGAGCCATTTCAGCCTTACCCAGACTGAGCTTTCTGTACAGACCATTTTATGTCATGCAGCACAAAACCAAACTTCCATATCTAAGCATCTGATCTAGAGCATCTGAAAGCCAGTGGGAGTCCCTGCAGTGTCTTCACACTTCCTGCATTCAGAATTCATCTGTTAACCTTCACAACACCTTGTGACACAGACAGTGTTTTTATCCTTACCCTAAGATGAAGGAAGTGAGCAAAGTCTATTATTCAAAGCCATAGAGCAACTCCTAGTGAGACCCCAACACCCTGTTCTGTTCCCAAGACTGGCTGGGAAAAGCACCAACTTGGAACATGTAAGCAGGTGATTTCTTTATGTGATAATTACCTTTTTAGCATTTTATTGCATTTGCTTACACAGAGACAATTTCTGGCATAGTCGTGTCCTGGAGCATGGTAACCCACATGTGAGCTCCAAGACTGCAGTGGGATTATTCATCTGTAAGGTATTTTAGGAAGTAAAGATATTAGATCTGCCCACTGAGTGAGGAGTCTTAGAGAAATCCTGAGGCAGCTTGAGGGATAAAGTACTGCTCAATTAGCTCTGAGTATATCTACATGCTGCAGCAATCTCTTGGAGGAGAAGCACAACAGGATCATACAGTGGCACTCCCCTAACTTGCTAGGAGCCCCCTCAGCAAGTCCTCCCCTGCAGATGTAGATCAATATTCACCTCTCAGTCCATGTGACCCTTCCAACATCAGCTTCTGGCTGCTCAGGGCTATAACCAGCAGCTGACAATGCTGTGCTGATACCTGTTGATCATTTAATCCACGATTTCATCTGAGTCTCCCTGGACTTCCTGGGTCCAGTTTCAGTTCCACTTGAAAAGTGCACTTGGCTTCCCCAGCTCTGAGAAATGTGAGTTGGAGTGTCTTGGTCAGAGGCAGCAGGGAATTGCAGTGTGGGATCAGTTATTTCCTACAGAGATCCTCAACCTCTGAAATGAAGCCAAGAGCCCCTGTTTCACACAGGGCTAACAAGAGACTTTCAAGCAGTGGCTCAAGCCAAGAGAGTTATTCTGATGTGGAAGTACCATCACCTCTGTTTAACAGCAGCACTCAACCTCTTCTCCTAATCACTTGCCTTCCTGTGTCTTTCCTCCTCAAATCTGCCTTTGGTCCAACTGGGAAATTGATCTTTTACCTGTTCTGCAAGAATCGCTCTGTATCACTCCTTTCCCACCTGAACCTCTCTCTCTGTATTCAGTAAAGCCCATGTTTAGTGACCATAGCTGTTGAAATCTTACTGACTGAACTGGCCTTCAGTGTTGGGGTTTCTTGCTCTGTTGTAGCTGAGTTCCTCATTCTCATTTGTAGACACTCAAATGAGTGTCAATGACAATGAGTTCCTCATTCTCAGCTCCAGAGCACAGTACAGACCTACTGTGGGAACCTCTCCCCTTTGCTGTTCATGATCGCTGCTCAGTCCTTTGTCCTCTCATGATTCTGCCATACTTATTGTTCCACAAAAAAAAAAAAAAAAAGCTTTTATTCCTTCTATCACCTCTGCTAAATGTCCTATCTGCCAGTTTTCCCAGAAATCTCTCTTCCAGTTATTTCTTTCTTGGTAGACTCTGAATCATCTCTGGTCCTCTTTGCCATCACTTAGGGTGAAAAAATTCCATAAGACATCTCCAAACAATCAAAACAGCTTCAGTTACTTAATACAATGGAAAACCAAAATGGAGCTGTCCCACTTTCCTGCAGTCCCAGCTCTCTCCTGCCAACAAGCATATTAATGAGATTTCAATATCAATCCAGAGCCAAACAGAAATCATCTCCATACCCTGGATGCAGCATTCAGACAGCACTACCTGGAGATGGAACTCTACGAAGAGCTGCTGTCAGTGACCTGCCTTCACCACCTCCTTCAGGATGCATCATCTCCTCCAAGGCGACTCAGACAAGGGGAGGGAGAGCAGGACTGCGGTTCTGACCAGGCAGTTAAACCGAATAAAGGGTTCTGCTCTCACCCAGTCCTGCATTTTGAGCCTGCACAGTGGCTGGTCCCAGTCCAGCTCTGTGTATGCTGCAAATAACTCTGGAGAGACTTAAGGAGTGTCTACAAAAACTAGACAAGGATATGAGATGTCTAGGACAAACAGCTCTGTCAAGTGCTGTGGAAAGGCATGGTTGCCTATAAATTTGGCATGCTAGAATTACAGTAAGGTGTGTTTGTCATGGTTCTTTTTAATAACAAAGGTGTTAAGACGTGCCAGAAGCAGAATCATGGCAGAATATTGCATCCTGCAGACCCAGTGCTTTCAAATCAGCAGCCTGTTGTACACAGATATTTTACAAACTGTCACCAAGCCATCTCAGAGATGAGCTGCACCACTAAGGATGTGACAGTCATTCAAACTGCTGTAACTGCAGAATGTCAAAACATCAGGGAACAGTTTTGCAGAAGTGAGGAGATACTTTCCAAACAGCTTTATACACCTCTGTAAGGCAGGATGGTAGTGCAGGTTCCGCAGAAGTGCATGTGTTCTGACTGCCTGGAATCCTACTACATATTTCCAAACAAGGTACTGATCACTTCTGGAGGTAAAATTTATTAAGTGACTGCTGGTTGGTGGAGCCACAAATATCACTCTAGATATGGCTGTGCCTCACTGATTGGGAAACAGATTTGTAAGAACTGCAAGTAAAATAGTTTGGGATTCAGAACAAACATATCTTCATTGCTTCAGGTTCCTGCAGATTAGTTTCCAGTTAATCAGCTGCTTTGAGGTAACATGCGTTCAGAATCTCCAGAATATTTCAGAACCTGCCTGATCCAGCTGGAGTCAGTGTTGACAAAACACAAATCCAAGCCTTCAAAAAACGATCAGTGTTTTCATTGTCACACTGATTCAAATGCTTTAATACTGCTTGTCTCCTGCTTGCTTATCTCTGCTCACATTGGCCCTTCTTGTAAATGAAAAGAGCTCTGTGCAGTTTACTGCCCAAGTATCACTTTTTATTTTCCCTTTCCTTTCCCTTTCTTTTCCTTCTTTTTCTCATTAAGTGTCAAGAAACCCCATTCTGCTTCATCAACCCACACCACAAGCTTTGGACCTGAAAAAGAGAGAACAACAACTTGGTTCCCTGGAGGAAAAGGGTAAAAGCAAACAGTCATGTGGAATGGTGCTACTGGTGGATATTCATGACAAAAAAAGGCAGGCACACTGTGGTCTCCAAAAACCCCTTTTATTCTGGATTAGTCTACATTGTTTGAAGCTAAGGTAGACTGTCAGTCACCTGATTTTTCTTTTACTTTCTGTGTGCTATGTTTAGCAAGAGGAATGTCTTACCAGGGAGGACACTGACACTGTAGTCCTCCAGACCCTTTGATTAGAGTAGTAAATGACTGTGTCTACATATCTTTAAATGACACTTTTTAGTTCAGAAGAGCAGTTTGGGAGAAACAGTAGTTCATGAAGAAAGTACAGACATTGCAGAAAGGGAAGAATAGTTTAGGTTCAGAGGAATCAAGAACTGAGTATTTGCCTTTCCTTCTTGCCCTGTGTTTTTGATCAGAATATTAATTCTGTGGCCCCCCACTGATGATACAGACTGATGTTCTTTTGGGGAAAAAAACCCAACCCAAATCAAACCCCAAACCACACAACAAATGTGTTTTGTTCGATGTGTTTGCACAACTCTCTGCACTCACAATACAGTCAGCAGGAGTGCCCTGCAGGTTGTTCTGCAAAGTACCTGTTGCTAAAAACACATCCTACCTATAAGTTCATGGCCTTTTAATGCCTTTTTTCCGTAAGTGTTCCCAGATGACAAATGTTCCCTAAGAGCATACTTCAGTTGGAGGGTCTGTCATAGGGCTCCCATCCACCAGGACCTGCTCCAGCTGCTTAAGACTGTCCAGGTCCTTGGGCAGCTGTGACATGACAGGTAATTGTTCTGGGTGAGCAGTTCTTGCAATCCTGAACACACAAAACCAAACAGCTGCAGCACGAGGAACAAATGATGTGAAGCATTCCTGAGCGCTCCCCATAAACAGCAATGCCACAAACAATTCAGTTTCTGTGCATGCAACAAATGTGTGTATTGAACATCTCACCAGAGAATTTAAAAATTGGGATATCTGCTCCCAGAAGCAGAAGGACAGGACTCAGACTCTCCATGGAATTTCCATGTTGCAGCAGACCAAGATCTTCTCCCTTCTATTGCTCCTGCTTGCAAATTGCTGATGTCTTCTGACAGACTTGTGAATTTAATGCCTTTATCTTGTCCCAACTATAATCTCTCTAATGACTCCAGGAGAAAGATTTCCTTTTGAAAGATACTGAATTGGTTTTCACACTGGCAAAGGCACTTAAAATTAGTCAGTTCCTTCACCTCTGCAGGTATCTAGACACAGTCATTAAAAAGATACATTATGTCAATTAAACAGCAATCTTTGGGATTTTGGTTTTAGGGAAAAAAATCTCCGAAGAAAATGCTGTGGAGCTACATTACTGTTGATGGATGAACACAGAATATTCTGGTCATTAATATCACATTATACCTCACAGTATGGTGGAAATTTTGGCAAAGAAATCCATGTTGCTTCCTCTGCAGGAAAGATTTCTTATGGGGTTAATCTTATTTCTGAGCAGAAACATTAGTCTGCTTCTTCATTTCCTTTGTGTGCACTGTGCAGGGGAGAGCAATTCAAATGAATGAAATTGGAAAGTGAGTCTTTTGCATAAATTACTACTTCTGTAAATATAACCTTCAAGAAGAAAATTGCACCAGTGAAAATCTCCTTGGAAGAGAAACATTGCATTATAGAAAAAGGAAGGTGTGTTCTGAGCCCTAGCATGAGGATGGCCATGAATACTGTTATATTTATAGCACAGCTTTAGGGTGCATAATTGTTCATTATCAAATGAACAGCACATGTTAATGGAGTTAAAGGCATTAACAATATCATATCCATTTTTAAACTGCCCTCTGCTCTGTTTCAATTTGTGACATATTGATTCTATGCAAATGAAGCTCTTCCTTTCCAGTGTACACAGAAGGAAAGGATGCAAAAAGCCTGCAGCAGTCCCTCCAGTTAGGATTTCACCTTCATGATTCAACACAAAGGTCAGTGTTCCTACAGTCTTGCTTTTTTTTCCCTGCCTGAATAGTGAGATGTCAATGATAAGGTGTAACCCAGGCTCAAGTTATGTGAAGGCACCAGGTGGAATGTGCCTTCCCCC